CCAGCAGTGCCCTGAGCTGTGTGTGAGCCCCAGCAGTGCCCTGAGCTGCCAGCAGTGCCCTGAGCTGTGTTTGCTCTCCAGGCCCCCGAGGTGATCCGGATGCAGGACAGCAACCCCTTCAGCTTCCAGTCAGACGTCTACTCCTATGGAATAGTGTTATACGAGCTGATGACAGGAGAGCTGCCCTACTCCCACATCAACAACCGAGATCAGGTGAGAACACTCTGGCATTGCACCTGATTGCTGGCATTGCACATCTCACAGGACAACCACTGAAATGTTGTTATAACCTGCTTTGGTTCAGCAGCAAATCTGTGTTACTGAATGTTTATTCAATATTGACAGCGACTCAAGGGAAAAAAGGTGGTTATTACAAACATTGTAAGTGCCCTGTTAATTTATTCACAGGTAAAAGCTTTTGGTACATCAGTAAAATCGTGGTTCATACATTTGCAATTAGGGGAACTTTCCCTTTTGATGTTAAAAATGTTGTTCTCATGTCAGGTTGGATTCTGTGCCTTTTACTAAGACAGAAAAGTAGTGCCTGTTGTCAGGCCTTTGACTGTTGAATGCTGGGGTGATTGAGTGTTTGCTGAGCTGCAGTTACCCAGCCAGTAATGGTGAGGAACACACTGAGGCCAGGAACAGTGTAGGAATGTGGGAATGTAGGAACAGGTGGGATCTTTGGGAGCTGTTTGGATGATCCTCAGTTGTGGTTTGTGTTTTTGGTTGCTTTTTATAAAATTAAGATCTTCTAATGAGAAGTGTGTGTGTATGGGGATTATGGGGGCAAACAATTAGATTTTAGCCTCTATTAGTGACTCTTATAATCTGAAATAGTTCACAGTCTGTATTCTAAGTAGACGAGGCCACTTCTGTTAAGCTAAGGAAGATTTTTATTTTAAGGTTGTCTACAAATTGGGACATTGGGATATGCTTTAATTCATGATATTGAAATGCTGTGCAGGTTTTAGTAACCATCACTGCTGCAAAACATGCAGCAGGTAACCCTCGTGTGAGTGTTCAGGAGGGACAGAATAATTCCAGGAGAAGAACACCGAGACATTATTTAGGATGAAAATCCTAAACAATGACCATACTAACCTGGATTAAAACAGAATATGTATTTTCCAGCACTGATAACATCTTTTATTGTTTGTCTCAAAACAATCCATCTCCTGTTTTGCTGCATTACTTGGGGTTAGTTCTGATGATCTCTTTTACACCGTGGCTTCAAGGTTGGACTCGATGGTCTTGGAGGTCTTTCCTGACCTGCATGGCTCTGTGGTTCAGAGATCCTGAACACAAAGTTGTCACGGTGGACTCAGCAGAAGGAGCTCCCATGTCCATGTCTTGGGGCACCAAGAGCTCCCTGTTCTGCTGAGCCTTACAAAGCACAGCATTCCTGGGTGGTCCCACCCTGCACTGCCCACAGCGGCACCCCTGGCCTGGTCCCCTCACTGGGACAATCTGCAGGGCTCTGGGGGGTCCTGTGCTACTCAGGTTTAATCACACCAGTGAAAACACTTCCCTGACTTTGGTCTTGTGCTGCTTCCTTGTCGTTGTGCAGATCATTTTCATGGTTGGCCGAGGTTATGCTTCCCCAGACCTCAGTAAACTGTACAAGAACTGCCCCAAAGCAATGAAGAGGCTCGTAGCAGATTGCTTGAAGAAGGTTAGGGAAGAACGACCTCTGTTCCCACAGGTGAGTGTGTTTTGTGCACAGGGTGTTGTATAAATAACCATTAGCACACAAAAGAATTGCTCAGATGGAAGGTTTGGGTTACATGAAGTGCAGCCTGGGTCCTATTTTTGCCTTTGTTCATAACCCTGCTCCTTTGGCAGTTGGTGTTTTGTTTCTGCAAAGGTCATGAAAATCCTGACTCATGGAGCTGAGGCTGTGCCAGGTGACACTGGAGCAGTTTGACAGCTGACCCACTTTAGGGAGAAGCAAAAACCCCCCCAACACAATTCAAATCAAATCTGTTTCTCTGTACACATTTTATTTTAGTGTGGGTTTGAGGGAAATGAGAGAGAACTCTTTTCCTTCTCCAGAACTAAAACAAGCAAACAAAATCCACTGGGAGATGGAAATTCATGTAGCAATTTTTGGTATCTTTACAAGGGATACTTTACCTTTTTCTGTCACTATGAGGATAGGGAAAGTGCTTTCTTATTAAATAGCTGAAATGAAATATCAGCAGGTTTTGGACAAAGAACTTGTCTTGCTGTTTTAAACAGCTTGTCGTTTAAAAAGTTCTTTCCAAATGCAGTTGTTTCCCTGTTACTCTGCTGGGATTTGCACAGATGCTTGTTAATGGACTGAGAACTAATGAAGAACCCCTCCCGGATGGCAGGGGTGGGTTATTGGATGGCAGGGGTGGGTTATTGGATGGCAGGGGTGGGTTATTGGATGGCAGGGGTGGGTTATGGCAGCTCGAGTGTTGTTTCAGTGCCCAGAGCACGTTGCTGCTCTGCAAGATGAGCTTAAAGCCTTAACTGAGTGGAGGTGGGAAGGACTGGAATGAGGGAATGAATGAGGGTTTAGGAGTGAGGCAGGAAGAGCTGCCCGTGAGCAGCCCCTGAGCTGGCTGTGCCCCCCAGATCCTGTCATCCATCGAGCTGCTGCAGCACTCCCTGCCCAAGATCAACCGCAGCGCGTCGGAGCCGTCGCTGCACCGCGCGGCGCACACGGAGGACATCAACGCCTGCACCCTCACCTCCTCCAAGCTGCCCGTCTTCTAGGCCTGCCCCGCCCGGGGACGGGCACAGGACAGTGTGCTCTCCGTGCCTCGGGCACAGGGACGGTGTGCTCTCCGTGCCTCGGGCACAGAGCAGTGCCATGAGCCCCTCCCCGTTGGGGGAGCCCCTCCCCGTCCCGAGGAGCTGCTGCGGATCCGCTTTGAGGACCGGCGTTCTCAGCCCTGCTGGGGCAAGGACACTGCACGTCAAGAGATCTGTTACTGGTTCTTCAGTAGATGCACTTGAGCCTTACTCTCCAGATGCTCCTCTGGTGGTGGTTGTGGCTGTGCTGAGGGGGTGTTTCCCACAGCCAGGGTGGCTCTGAGGACAAGGTGCTCTGATTGCCCCGTGCCACCCCGAGGTGGGGGAGCTGTGCCTGCAGTGGCTCTGCAAACGAGACTGAGGGAAGAGGAAATAACTCTGGAAATCAGCTCCTGCCCTAAGAGCTTCATCAAGCCAATGAAATAAGTTAAAATGCTAATTCAACACAAAATAGTTTTGCAATAGTTTTGCACATAGAAGAAAAACTCTTGCAAAAGAATGGAATCTGTTCCGAATTGTCCTGCTCAGAGAAGGAAGCAGCCGGTCGTGGTCATCCTGAGAAGCCTCACAGCTGACTTTGGTACTAAGGACTGTTCCCTGCAGCCCAGGAGTGGAGAGTGATCCCAGCCTGGGGGCTGGCCAAGGCTGAGGGATGTTATCCGTCTGCATCCCATGGGAAGCTGTCGTGCAAGAGATGCACTATCAAGAGGAAACTGAGCATATACAGTTTTTCTTGCTGATTTGGGGTTTAATTTTGTTTTTATTGCTCCTGAGAAAATGCATTTATTGTAAGCCAAGGTTCCTCTGATTATCTTATTTTAATAAAATAAATTAAATTTTAGGTGTATGATTCCATGTCATCATTTAATGCACTAATCCAGAGTTCTGACTGCTACACCTGGACTTGGAAAACTCAGAAAACAACATTCTGAGTACTTTTAAAAGAGTTACTGTGATAGGTAATAGTGCAAGTAAGAACACACTTGATACAACCACCTGTTTCCCATCACTCCCATGGCAAGACAGTTTTTACTGTAATAATCCTTCAGCAGCATCCACTCAAACCCACACTGATGCCTCTCAAGCTGTTTCACTGCACCACTTCTGCTGTTTTCTCTTGTTTGTGGAGGTGGAAGGGTTTTGTCTTGGCTGAACTCCCTGGATGACAGAAATTGGTGGTTTAATCTTAAAATTGCCTTTTTTTAAATAGCACTGTTTAAACATGTTTATTAGGGCAAGGATGGAAACCCAGCTGGTTGGAATGGAAGGTTGGGGGTTTTGCCTTTGTGTGCACAGGTGAGTGGGCCCTGCCTGAGCAGTGACAGGGTGGCTGTGACCCCATCCCAAAATGCTGGGATGGTGCCTTTGCTGTCTCTGGGGGCAGTTGCTGTGTCCTGCTCTTCTCTGTAATCACCAAACAGCCACTGCAGCTCCTTGGGTGCAGCAGCAAAACCCCCCAGAGTGCTCGTGAAAGAGGGACCTGAGCCAGGCACCGAAATATCTACACTGCCTGTACTTGGAACATTCCATAACGTAACAAGGGTGGAATATTGATCCTTACAACCACCATAAACTTTGCTTGCTAAAAAGTAAACTGAGACTTGAGGTTCTGCATGGGTTTTATTAATACTCCTCGTATTTTAACTTACAACTGTCTCTAATGTAATTTATCGGTAATTTTAACTTCATTATCATAAACTTAAAGAGGGGGAAGAAAAAACCCACCCAAAATGCTTAAGCTGCTTCTGCTTTAGCTCTGATTTCCCCAAAGAAACCATTAACTCCTGATTTTTAAAACAGATTCTGTGACCCCTGAAACATTTAAATATATTTGATAAAGAGGCTTATTTTAAGTAGCACTTGATATCCAATTAAATCAAAGCTCCTAAGTGAAGAATTTAGAAACCTGGACCTTTTAAATCTTACTGCTCTTAAATTTAAACTTCTATGTTGTCCCCAAGTAGCTTTGGAAAACAAGTTGGTTCTTAATTTCAGATCACTGTTCTTGGGGCAAAGTCAATCAGAAATGTCTTGTTTAAGGTGAAGAACATCCTTTCCAGTGACATTTTGGATGTATTTTATTTATTTGTGGAAAAAATACGTACAGGAACACCTAGAAACAGATTTCAGTGGGAGGGTAGGGGCTGTGTGAGTATTTTGAGGTAGAAAGTACGTTTGGGAGGTGCCCTTGAACATCCATCTCAGTGTGTGACATCTGTCTTAGTGATGATTTTCCTTCATCTTTGTGATTAGTGATGACCAGTTGTACCAACAGGATTTGGGTGAGACCTTTGGTGGTGCCTCCAGGGGTCAGTTTTGTAAAGCAGCTGATTTAGTGTTTGTTACAGGCCCCAGGCAAGGCCTGACTCTGCAGCAGGCACTGCTGGAAATGAACTCCAGGGGGAAATATTTCTGGAAAGTTCCCTTTCCCAGCTCAGAGCAGAGAGCGAGCCTGGCATGTTCTGTCTGGGGGAAGTGCTGGGCACAGAGTTCTCCCTTACACAGGTGCTGAGCTGCCAGCCAGGGGTTTCTCAGCTCCATTTCTGCCCCAGAAACACCAACCAGCAGTGGATAATGCTGACTGGGTGTCGTTTGCAGGGGTTTGAAGCCCAGGTGAAGGTTCCTGCTCTTGGTTCTTCCACCAGAGCAGAGCCCAGTCTGCCCAGCTGGCATTGAGCCAGGGCAGGGAGGAGGCCACAAGCAGCAGATCCTGCAGGTGGGACAGTGCTTTTCATCCTGCTGAGGGGTAAAAAAGGTCACATTGACAGGGACATTCACCTGCTCTGAATGTGGCTGAGGGTTTCCATCCCTCCTGGTGGGCACAGCTGGCTCAGCCCCTGATGTGAGAGCCAGTGCTGTGTCTCAGAAGGGGCCAGAAACCATCAGAGGACCCCCCCCCCCCCCCCCCCGATGGGGCCCTGCCCCTGAGCACTGCAGGTGATCCCAGTGCTGCAACACTGTAAACTGCCCTGCACCCGGGGGGGTTCCTGGGGTTCCCCCCGACCCTGAAGGAACATTAACCACGGACCTCGGCATTCTGTGGCTCTTCCCCCTCCCTGATGGATCAGGACTGTGACCATCACTGCATCCAGGGGGGTGAGGTGTCTCCACTCAGCTGCTTCCTTTCTCTTTCTTTCTCTTTTACACTTTCTGAAGTGTTACTTTTATGCCTTTATGTTGCTGTATTAATACAGATAATAACCAAACTGACTCCATCCCTGCTTTCACTTTAACCAAATCGTTCTAAAATAAACCCTACCCACATATATGTGCACACACACACATATATATATTTACAGACACTGTTCATTCATTGTGCTTTCACTCTAATCCCAAGGGATGTATTTACAGAACCTGAGCTCCCCTCCCCATCAGGGGCAGGAACAGCTCAGGTGTGTTCATGCTGTGACTCAGCAGCCACTTCACCTGTGTCCAGATAAAATTCTTAATTTAACTGTTCATGCAAATGATTGAGCAGAATTAACTGTGTATCAAATTTCACAATCAGACTCCCTTTGCAGCACAAACATGAATGCCACTTTTAACAAACCCAGAGTTCAATAAACTCTCTTCACTCAGCAGAGATGTGCCTGGATCCCTCAGCCCTCCTGGGCCTCCAACACCGCTGGCCTTGGCCTGGCCGTGGCCGATGGAGACAGAGCAGCTGCAGAGCCACTCCCAGCCTGGGGCAGGGCTGGGGATCTGATTACTGACAGTACCTTTCTCACGCTGCAGCTTCCAGGCTCCAGTCTGTGCTGGAAGTTGGATTGAGCTCTGCTCTGTGACACCAGTCTTGCTCTGCCTGAGTCTCTGAATCCGTGCAGCTGAATTTGCTTTACAGCAGCTGCTCCAAGATCCACTTCATCCTCCCTGCACTTCAGCTGGTGTGGAACAAGGGTGGGAACCCAGCTGGCACTGTCTGGAGAGCCAGGCCTTGTCCAGCCCCACTCCCAAGACACCCATCCAAGAGTGCAGCAAACTTTATGCTGAACTCCAGGTACTGTCTGAGGTATAATGTGTAACTTCTTAAATCTCAGGTCTCCTTTTTAAGAAAAAAAATGTACACTAACCATTATTCCTAGTGGGTTTTGTAGTTACACATTTAGTTGATTTAGTGGAGGAAACAAAAAAAAAGCACCCAAACTCTATTCAGCAACATTTTTACCAGCTTAAGCTTTACCTGGCACTGTATTTACACTACCACTCAGCTCACAAGACAGCATATGTTAGGCCAGAGGGGGAGAAAACCCTCTGGGGATTAAGGGATTTTTTTTTTCCCATGCAGTCAATTTATTTTTTTAAATATATTTTAGTATTTTTGTTGCCATACAAAAACTATCCGAAAACTTCACCGGGACTGCACAGTAAACCACAGGGCACGTTTGTTCTACCTGTGCTGCAGAGAGTAAAAGCCAGGCTCATAAATAGCTGCAGTGCTGGGGGTGGGGGCTGTGCTGTGCTCACGGGGCAGCAGCAGGGTCCTCCTCAGCCCCCGAGAGGTGCATGAACAGCTCCCCCAGCTCGGTGACCTGGTCCGTGCCCGGCGCCGCCCGGCTCTCCCGGTCCTCGATGAAGTCCCAGAGCCGCACCGAGTTGAAGAACTGCAAAGAGAGAGAGAGGTGTCTGAGCAGGGACCAGCCCCAGAGCTGGACACTGCCCTGGACCCCTGCCCTGGCCCCCTGCCCCTCCTCACAGCAGCCTGGCTGGGGCTGCAGAGCTGGGTTTGTGCTCCCAGCTCAGGCTGACACCCCCTCTGCACCAAGGGCAGTGCACGCAGCCGGCACCAAACGCAATCCAGGACGGGTTTCTGAGGAGGCTTTAACCCTGTAGCTGCCCCTGGGCCAGCTCTGTGCAGGCTCATGACAGGAGCTTTTAGCACTGTGGCTGTAAGCTGTGAGGGCAGCACTGCTGCCAGGAAAGGTGTGCCCTGAGGAGGACTGGCTGACCAAAGCAAGCAAACATTTTGCTGCTAAACGAGGTGCGTTTTCCCTTCCCCTAAGAACAGACCTTTGCCCCAGGGGGCATCGAGAGGTGCTTTTTGAGCTGGTGCTGCAGGGCACAGCCCCCTCCCCGCAGCCCCAGCTCCCTGCAGGGGGGCAGTGCCAGGGGGTGGCAGTGCCAGGGGGTGGCAGTGCCAGGGGGTGGCAGTGCCAGGGGGAGGCAGTGCCAGGGGGAGGCAGTGCCAGGGGGAGGCAGTGCCAGGTGCTCACCCGCACAGTGCCCTCGGAGCTCAGCTGCTTGCGGGGTTTCTCGGGCTCGGCGCGGGTGCCGTCAGGGTACGCGTGCAGGTACAGGCACTTCCCGCCAAAGGGACACGTCCCCTTCCCCTGCTCAAAGTACTTGCAGGGCTTTTTCCTGGTTTAATGAGAAGAGAGAGTTAGTGCCTCCAGCTGGGGAGGAAGGAGCTGCAGGGCAGTCCCCAGACTCAGCCTGAGTGATGCTCCAGTTCTCACACCCAGAGCTTTGGCCTCCCCTTCCCTGAGAGCCGCCAAAGCAGAGGGCAGACAGCACTGAAAGCTAACAAACACATCAGAAACCAGCATCAGAAATCAAACAGTTTCCTTTTAAGCTGTGGAAAGTGAAGGATGTTCAAAGAGCATCAAAATGGGCTGTTTTTCTATCACATCTTTTCTCCTGCCCTTTCTACCACTACAGAACCAGTTCCCCTTCTCATCTCCTTTGACAATTCTTTGTTAATTTATGTTCCCTCATCTTTGTTGTTCAACCAGGGTGTCCAGGCTGCACAGCAACTTGTTCCAGGGTTGATCCTTGCACAGTTTGTACAACAGTACCTGGGGGGCATTGGTGGATTGTTCTACACTGAAAACAGCTTAAACTACAGGGAAAATGCAACAGAACTTGTTAATATGGAAATAGTGATGAAACTGATTCCCAAGACACAGATACACCCATTCAATAGCAACTACATGGAGCAGAAAGATCAGCACTAACAAACAGAACACCCAAACACCCGAACAGGCACTGCATGAAACCCACAGTGAACTGGTCTGGGTTTGGGACTCAAGTGCTCTTTGACTTCCAGGTTTCTTAGTCTGACTTTTCTCATCCTGTGTTGGCCTGACCCCAGCTCTTGGCTTAGATTCCACTTGAGCAGCATCTTATTAGCACTTCTTCATTCCCCCAACACCAAACCCTCAAATCAAATCAACTGCCAAGAGCTCTGTCCACAGAATTTCTGTTCCAAAGACACTGTTACCCACAGCCTGTAATGTGTGAGTCTGAGCACTTCAGCAAAGCCTCTTTCTCTACTCTCTCCTGTACAAGGGTTGACAAGAGTCAGACTGGACTTGCCAGCCCACCTGCACCTCTGCTGCAGGGGCACAAAGGCTGTCCTTGCTGGAACACGGCTGTTTGAAAACTGTGCTGATGCTCTGCAGCACAACTGGCCACCCCAATCCAGAGTCCTCAGGAGCTCAAACCAACCAAACCAGTGATGGGGGGTTGAAAACAACCCCTGTCTGAAGAACTGCAGTTTAAAGTGCTTAATTTTATTCAGATATTGTGCCTACTAGGAGACAGGATGCTGGTTAAGTGTTTCATGGAGCAGCACTGCTTTCAGCTGTTCTGCTGAGCTCTCCAGGCCTTCAGGCAGCTGAGAAGCTGCAGCCACAGTAAGGTGGGTCACAGTAAGGCCCATTTTTGCCTGTACTCCTGTTTAAAGGTGGATGCAGCAGAGATAAGAAATGGTATCTCCCAGCTCTGTGAACCACACAGCCCTCGCACATCCCAGCTCTGCAGAGCTGCTCCAGCACTGCCCTCTCCCAGTGCTCCCAGTGTCCCTGTTGGACAGTACAAGGGATGCAGTCCTGCAGTATTTGCTATTTCCAGCAGACATCACAAAAGCTCCATGAATTTTTATCCCATATTGCAGAAGACTATTCCATTTTCCTTCCCTCTTTGATCTCAGTGACCAACAACATTCCAGGCAATTGTGTCTGAGGGATAAACAGAAGCCACATAAAGCCAGTTTTGGCAAGTGAGCTGAAATAACTTCAACACTCCAGAGCACAGTGAGGTTGAATAATTTCTGATCTACAGTTACAGGCCAGACCCTTTGATGGCAGCCACAAAGTTAAGCAGAGGAGTGAGCAGAGATCAGGAGCCCTCTGGACAATGGGCTGGAGTTCCATGAAGTTTAGAAGTGCAGGCTCAGTGACTGACTGACCCTTGGTGCATCTAAAGAACACCACACAGAGTGTGTTACTGAACTTACCCCACTCCCTGCTTAAAGGCTTCAATCAGCTCATTCTTCTTCTCCTGCTCCTCCACCCAGTACACACTGGGGATGACGAACTCGGAGATCACTCGGCACTCGGGGCACGACCTGAAGGGAACAGTGATGTCACCTCTGTCCCCTCCCAGGAGGGACACCCTCCCTGCATTTGTGAGGGTGCATCTGCACTGTGCATTTGCACTGTGAGTGCTGCAGCTCCCCTGCAGCAGGAAGCCAAACCAGAGGAGAAACACAAATGGAGGTGTCTCAGCCTTTGGAAATGCAATGACCTGACATTCACTTCAGTGAAAGTTGTAGTAAAAGTTGTGCAGAAAAGTCTATTTTGGCAGGAAAATGAAAATATTTCCCATCTTTCCCTCAGCGTGTTTGTAGCTTAAGAGAGAGCTATGCTCAAAAAAGGGAACAGATTGGGTGTTTTAAATTCTCACCTGAGGAGGAACATGCAGGGAATCCATTTTTTATGGAGCTGGCAGATGAAGGCATTTACTCAGACACACACAAAGGTGTGATTAGCGGGACCTTTGCCTGGAGCAAGCCCCAATTCAGAGAGAAGTCTCCTCATGAAGCACATCCATGTGTGTGTGCACAGGTCACTGTGAGGGGCAGAGGCCAACGAGGTCCCAGCTGTCCCAGAGTGTCTGCTCTCTGCCCCAACGACACACACAGGGCCAGAGCATGAAGTGAACTGTTACCAAAGGACACCCCATGTGTCCTGCTGCTCTTGGGGACTGCTCTCATAGCCAAGCCCTGGAACTGGCCAGCCCTTGGACCTGTTTTCTGAGCTCTCTGCTCATATTTCCAGCAGTTCCAGCAGTTCCCTCTGAAAGCCCCTCAGTGGCAGGGCCCAGGAGGAGACTCACTTGATGATGGGGTTCTCGAACTGCTTGGCACATCTCCACTGGCGGATGCAGGACAGGCAGTAGGTGTGGGTGCAGTTGGACAGGATCCCAAACCTCCTCTCCGAGGCCGATGGTTTCTCGTACACCACCTCCATGCAGATGGAACACACCTTGTCCTGGCTGGCCTGGAAGGCAAAGGCCTTCTCCATGTCGTGCTCAAACGTGGCCATGCACATCTGTGGGGAGAGAGAGGAGGGTCACTGCACCCCCTGCCAGCTGTGGCAGAAGGGTCTGAGGAAAGGTCTGTGACAGCAAAAACACAGAGCACTGCTAAGGGCATCACTCCTACCCATCATCGTCATTTCATTGAAAGAACAGTAAATCCAATCACTTATTTCAGCCTTCAGTGTTCTCTGCAGCTTCAGAACTGCAGAAATAAGGATGCCTGAGCACTCTTCATTTACCTCTTTCTGCATCTCTCATGGAACAGGTATTGAATCATTTGATGCTTCAAACACCTCGAGAAAACATCACACTGAGTGTCCAGAACAAGTGCACTTGAACTCAGGGTGTTACTCTGATTATTATTAAGGGCACATTCTCTCCCTGAATATTAAGTTTTACCCAGTTAAGGCATTAGGCTCTTATTTCAGGCTTTCCTCCAGCACTTCTCATCCCCAGTGACAATCCATAACGAGGTGAGCTGCTGCTCATACCTGCAGTTTTACCTCTTTACTTTTCAAAGGTCTCAGGGCTTGAAAAGTAATATAAACTTACAAGACTTCAAATATATAACAACAATAATGACATAATCTATAATAATAATGACAAAGGACACAGAATAATTCCCCATTAGTAGCATGTCTGGCTAGTGCAGCTCCTCATCCAGCATACAGCTCTGCTTCTGAGAGCACCAGGACACTGAGCCAGGCACCTACCAGCTCCAGGAGGAGTGAGAATTCCTGCAGCAGCACATATCAAAAATACACACAGACTGCACAAAACCTGAGCTTTTCACCCCCTTGGATTCTGCTCCTGCTGCTCACTAGCCCTGACCTAAACCTGGCAGCCAGGCAGAGGAAAGAGCAACTCTTCAGCCCATCCTTACCCAGCCAATGCCTGCAAGTTCAGCCCCCAGATCTCTGTGCTGCCTCCCATCTGCCCCCACTTGCTGTGGCCTGGACCCAGCCCCAGCAGGAGCCAGGCTGTCCCAGCACGGCAGCCCCAGCACAGCAGCCCCAGGCATGGCTGACCTGCAGCCGCTGTTCAGCAGTGTCAGTGTGCTGGGAGGAGACTGCAGGCTGGTCTGTCAGGGATGGAATAGATAAAAACAGGGTGATACCTGCATCCCTGCTCCCAGCTAAGCCCCAGATGCCTGAACACCCACTGTCAGAACCACTCTCCAGCTGGATAAGCCCTCTGGGACTGGCTCTGCTGTCAGAGCGAACCCCCAGCCCTGCAGTGAGCCAGCCCCCAGACCCCCTTACCATCTCGTGTGCCCTCCTCTGCTCGGGGTCGTGCGGGTGCAGCAGGGCGAGGCCGCAGATGTCGCACAGGTCCCCGTGCAGGTACGGGCAGCGCTCCCCGGCGGGGCAGGGCCCGCGGGCCGAGTAGGGGCACAGCTGCTCCCCGGCCCCACAGGGCGCCGGGGGCTCCTCCAGCCCGCTGCAGATGGCCTCCAGGTACGAGTGGGGCTTCCCCTCCGGGCTCTCTGCGACATCGCTGCAGCTCCCCCCGTCCCCGGGGGCGCCTGGCGGCGGCTTCTCCTCTCCTGAGCCGCACAGATCTGAGGGGACACACAGGGCACAGAGCTGAGGGGACACACAGGGCACAGAGCTGAGGGGACACACAGAGCTGAGGGGACACACAGAGCTGAGGGGACACACAGAGCTGAGGGGACACACACAGAGCTGAGGGGACACACACAGCACTGCTGGACAGGGCAGCCATGGCCCCTCCTCCCCAGGAGCAACAGCTACATTTGCTTTTGGAAGGTTTTTTCCTCAATGAAATCCCATCTCTAAGCCCCTTCTGCTCACAAATCACAGGAATGTTCCCAAATTACCTACTGAAAAGTTCAATTGCAAGATTCTTCAGCTGCTTTTTGTTTACAAATAGACTAAAAAAAAACCCAGAATCATTTAGGCTGGAAAAGACATGTGAGACCATGGAGTCCCCCAGCCCAGAGCACTGAGTGCCATGGCCAGGCCTTCCTGGGACACCTCCAGGGCTGGGGACTCCACCACTTCCCTGGGCAGCCCCTGCCAAGGGGGCTTCCCTTTCCAGGAAGAAATTCCTTCTGATGTCCAACCAGACCGTCCCGGGCACAGCTTGGGGCTGTTTCCTCCTGTCCTGTTGCTGGGAGCAGAGCCTGACCCTCCCTGGCTCCCCCCTCCTGTCAGGGTGGACAAAATCCCTCGGGGAGCTCAAAGCCAGTCCCTTCATAGACCACTGGGAGGGAGGACAGGCAGGAATTATCTGCAGCTGGCCATGGAACTCAAACAACCAGAGTAGGACACCCCTCCCCGCCGCCCGGCCCAAGGACAGCCCATCCCACTCACTCCTGTCCCGGAGCACCAGCGTCCTCTTCTCCCTCCTGCTGCGGGGGCCGCGCTCCGGGGGCTGCCGTGGGCTCGGGGGGGCGGTGGGGGGAGCCGGGGCCGCGGCCCCGCCCGGGGCCGGGAGCTTCACGTGGTCATACCTGGGACAGAGAGAGGAGTCAGGGCCGGGGCACAGGGAGCGCTCGGGACCCCTGCACGGGGCTGCTCTGAGGGCTGAGCTCCGGGAGCCTCCCGGCCGTGCAGGGCCCTCTCAGGGGCACCGCTGGGTGGATCTGTCCCCCCACACCTCCCCCGGCCCCGGGCAGGACGGAGCCACAGCTCACACAGCTCAGCACCTCCTGCGGGCACAGCACCCAGACCTGGCGCTGCCCCACCACAGCAGAGGATGCAGAGTGTCCACACAGGAGATAAAGGGCTTCTGAGTTCCTCAAGGACTCAAAACGTCCAGTAAAACTCTGGAAACACACTCCAGCAGCAGAGCAGGAGCACCCAGGGCAGTGAAGGGGCTGGTCCAGTAAAGCCACAGCCATACCCAAATGATACAGTATTTTTCACAGGAACAAACATATTTCCCCTCTCTCGTGCTGTGCTGAGGACCTGCAGTGCCCACAGACAGAGCGCCCAAACTCCAGCAAAGCTGGCTCAGAACCACCCCACTCTGCAGCCATGTGAGCGACACAGCCCCAGCCACGTCCCACACCATCCCAGGGCAGCCGATGGGAGCTGTGGGGATCACTGGTGTCCAACCCCCATCCAGTCTGGCACAGGAACCAGCCAAAGGGAGGAACTCTAAGGAGAGATCCCTCTCCCAGATGCAGGCAGAGCACAGCCACCTGGGAATTCCTCTGGGAAGGAGCCCTGGGGCACATCCCTGCTGGACCAGTGCACCAACATCAGCCCTGCACTGTATCTCCCAGAGCGTTCCTCAGGGACTTTGAACGCGAAGGCTCCAGGGAAAGGTGTGGAGCTGGGGCCCGCCGAGCCCGGTACCTGCAGCGGGAGCCGTAGGCGCACTGCCCCCGCTGGTAGTACTTGCAGATGGTGGAGGACTTGCTGGTGGACAGGTCGTGCGAGAACAGGCACTTGCTCCCCTCCCGACACACTCCCTGCAGGAAGTACCTGTGGGGAGGAGGTGGCTCAGGGCGGGCCCTGCTGGAGGGACAGCACAGAGCACCTGGGCTTGCTTTGCTTTGCTTTGGTTTTCCTCACGGGAGGTTGGAAAAGCACCCCCAGCCCGGCGAGTCCCCCGTGCCCGATCCCCGCCCTGTCCCCCAGCCCAGCGCACCGAGTGCCTCGGGCACCCCAGGGCTGCGGGTCCAACCCCCGGGCAGCCCCTGCCGGCGCCGGGACACTGCTGTGGGGAACCCCCGTCACCCGGACGGGCCTCCCCGCCCCACACTCGGTGCTGTCCCGGTACCGGCCCGGGGAGGCGGGGCCGGGCTGGCGGTGAGGAGAGCGAGCCGGGGGCGAGGGGAGCGAGGAGCGTAAAGGGGGGTGTTCCAGGGGGGTGAGGGGGAGTGTCAGCGGTGTGAGGGGGGTTCGAGGGGGTGAAGAGTGTTTTGAGGGTGTGGGGGGAGCACGACCGGTGAGCGGAGTTGTGCGGGGGTGTGTGAGGGGCTGAGGGGGCGCTCTGAGGGGGCCCGAAGGTGTACAGCCCGGCCGGGGGAGTTCGGCTCCGTGCGGGCCGTGTCTGTGTGTCCGTCCCTGTCCCTGTCCGTGTGTCCCTGTCCGTGTGTCTGTCCCTGTCTGTGTGTCTGTCCGTGTGTCCGTCCCTGTCTGTGTGTCTGTCCGTGTGTCCGTGCCCCTGTCCGTGTGTCCTTGTCCCCGTGTCCCTGTCCGTGCCCCTGTCCGTCTGTCCCTGTCCGTGTGTCCGTCCATCCCCACTCACCTGCACGTCACCTGCTTGGTGCTCATGGTGCCGCCGCTCTGCCCGCCCGGCCGGCTCCCCGCGCCGCGCACGCGGGTTCCGCGGGGCGGGGGGCGTGGCCGCTGCCGGCCCTGCCGCCATTGGGCGGCGGTTCCCGCCCGGACGCTTTAGGCCGGGGGCGCGGGGCGATGGCGCTGCTGCGCGTGCGTCACTGCCGCGCGCTGCTGTACTGCCGGCGCGCGCCCGCGCGCTGCCCCGCGTGCGGGGGGGCCTTGGCGGCCGGGGGGCTGTCCTCGGCGCCAGTCCGGCTGGACTGCCCCTTCCGGCACGGGCACGGACAGCCCCGCGCATTCCTCGTCAGGCCCACCCGAGGGGCCTTCCTGCGGTGACCGCCAGGGGGCGCCAGGGAGTGGGGGGGGAGGGGGGAAGGAATAGGGATGGGATGGAATGGGCAGGGAATGGGGATGGACAGGGAATGGGGATGGGATGGAATGGAATGGGCAGGGGATGGGAATGGAACGGAATGGGCAGGGAGTGGGGATGGACAGGGAATGGGAATGGGCAGGGAATGGGATGGGCAGGGACTGGGCCGGGACTGGGCAGGGCTGTCCCCGGGCACAGCGCTGTGCCCGCTGTCCCTGCTGGGCTGTTCCCGAGGGACAGGCCCTGATCCAAGTGTGCTCCTGTTCCAGAGGGTACGACGGGAGCTCCGACCTGCACGTGGGGATCACGGACTCCCGGGGTAAGGACAGCCCGGGCCAAGGGATCAGCTGTGCTGGGAAGGGGCCAGAGCTGGGAGCAACTCCAGGACAGCATCACACAGACCCTGGAAACATCCCAGCCTCTGTCCCACCTTGCAGCAGATGCAGCCCCAGTGAAAGCCATATCCCACATTCCACTTGGCACTGGATGGCAGGGACAGGTGCCTTCCACCCCTGACACAGGAAAAGGGAAAGCCAGGCCTACTTTGAAGAAGTTACAATGAATTAAATATGGGTTTTGGTGATTCTAAAAATACCCCTAATTAAAACCCAAACATTTTAAATGCCACGTTAAAAATCCTAATGGGTTATCCCCAGAGTAAGCCTAGCCTGCAAAATGTCACCTTAGATGTTTAATTAATATAAAAATGGTCTGATTTGGGGTTAAAAATGAAGTCTGGTCGTGCTTAAGTTGCTCTTGTTACCAGAGGGCATCTGAAACAGAGCAGGTTTTTGATGGAAGCCAGGCCTGCAGTTCCTGCTGGGCTCTGAGGGGAGGTTGTGGTGTAACCAGCCTGGAAAAGAACAGGATTATGGCAAACTCAGAACTTTCATCCCAAAACATCCCCCACAAAGGCTGTTGTGTGTTGCAGGGGTGGTGTACCACTACGACCAGGAGGGTGTGCACAGGGCCCACTCGGGGTGGGAGCAGTGCATCTGTGTCCCCCTGGTGCAGCCACACACGGGGCAGCTCCTGCACCACTGGGATGGCCTCCTGGAGGAGTTTGCTGAGGGAGAGGCCTGGCTTCCTCACAGGTACGTCACTTGAAATGGGGGTGTCGTGGGGTTTTTAGTCTGGGATGATAAACTGGGCTGGACCCCGGGGGGCTTGAGTGTCATCCAGAGCCTTGTGCTCCTTCAGGACACATTTCAGGACAACCCTGCCAGGCTGTCCTGAGCCTCCCTGGCCTGGGTAAACACAGCATGCTTCAGTTTTAGGAACAGACTCACGTGCTGGAATGTGAAAACTCTAAAACAGGAGGTTCTTTCAGGGAATTTTGCACGAAAGCCCCAGCTGAATGAAACATCACCCACCTGCTGCTGGGTACAAAGGGCTGGTGCCATGCTGGGATTACTGTTCCAGGTTTCTGCAGTTTTAGGTGCATTTGCATTTAAAGGCTGACCACACTGGGACTCTTGCCCAGATGTGACACCCAGGTGAGAAATGGGAAGCTCATTTCCAGCTCTTCCAGCTGGTCCAGCTGCTCTGCATGGGTGAGCACAGAAAGGCTTCCTTCCCCTCTGAACTGAACTGGTGTGTCCCACCAAGAACTGCCCTGAGGGGAATGCCCAGGTCAGACATGCTCTGCCACATGCCCACACTCCAGGGAAAGCCCTGGGAATGTCCCTGGAACAGCCCAAGTGACACACAGCCTGCCTGGGCACTGGGGGTGCTTCACTTCACAGAGCCATAAAGAACCCCCCCATCAAATCAAAAGCATTTTTTAGCAATTCTCTACACGCTGACTGTAAATTTCAGAGCTCATCCATCATCTCCCCAGACCAGGAGATGGAAGATTTTGATGCAGAATAGAATTTTTAGATGTTTACAGGACTTGTGAAGCCAGCAGGATTTGTGTTACTTTTACAATTCCTTAACAGGAATACTAAAATTGGCTTGGTGTCAAAAAACCTCACTGGCAGAAGGCAGACAGATGTTTTCATCTCTTCTATCAGCTTTTCTTCACTTTTCTGCCACCTCCTGACACAGTGACCTACTTTTCCCACTAGACCAGTAACCACCGAACTGCCAAAACCTCTTTTAATTAACTCCTCTGGTTTTCAGTGGACAGGAACTGCACTAAACTAATCCTGGCACTCCTCTGGGTTCAGGCTGAGCCGAGCTCTGATTTTCTTGATTGCTTGTCATTTATTGGAGGGCAGTGTAGAACATCTGCAAAGAACGGCAGCCACAGCCAGGACCAGCAGTGACTGAGGGGAGCTGGCTCTCCTGGCTGGACCCAGGGACACACTTCCCAAAAAGGAGGAGCTGAGCTTTGTCACTGAACAGGAGCTCAGAGGTCACTTCAGGTGCCCTTAAACCAGGAGAGCTTTAAGAGAAGAGAGAGCTCTGCTGAGCTGGACTCAGGGTCTCTTTTCCCAGCCACACTGCTCTGATCCTGCAGAAACCCCCAGGGCTGCCAGGGAATCCTCCCAGACTCCCTGTGCCAGGCACAGACCATGGAGCCACGGAGAGCAGCAGGCAAGGAATGGGTCACAGGGCTGGGGAGAACAGGGAACAGGCACTTCTGGGAGCAGCCTGAGGGTGAGGCAGGTGGCAGACAGAAGCCTGAGCAAATGCAGGTACAGGGACAGGGGGAATGAGCACAGCGTGGGCAGAGTGGAGTAAATGCAGGACTTGAAGCTGTGAGTGGCCACCATGAAACATTTGGGAGAACCCAAGGAACATTCTGACAGTGACCAGGTAAGTGCTGTCATGTCCTAGGATAGGGCAGCAGGGTTTAAAAAAAAAGGAGAAAAAAAAAAAGGCAAAAGCATTTTAAATGGCTGTCACTCCTGTTCCACTAGCATTTCTGTCCTTGCACAGTTGGCACAGCTGGCACAAAACCCAGTGGGGCTGGACTGGCACACTGTCCAACAGCTGTATCAGCACATCAGCGATGGAGGGCACTGGGTTTGAAGGGAGTTTCCACGTTACCACCACACATGGAGCCTCACCATTAACCCTGGGGCTGCAGGAAGGACTTTGGAACAATACAGGGAAGAGCAGAGGTTAACGAGGGAAGAGCCAAGTCAGTGTAGAAAATAAGAATTCATTACTGTCACGTCTTGTGGCCTTTTAGTTTCTATGCTCAGAGTTCCTGGTCCCTGCTGGACAGCACAGCTGGGGATGACTGGAATGTGTTTAACCATCAGCACGGAGGGAGGGGGATGGTTCCTGGGGAGTCCTTGGCTCAGTGGCAGCTCTTCCTAAGGAGGTGTTTTCCCCAGGTATGACGAGCAGGACCACAACTGCTACACCTTTGCCCTGGCCTTCATCAACCACGTCCTGAGCAGGCAGGGCAAACAGCCCCTGAGCAAGGAGGAGTTCACAGAGAGGTTCGTGCTCCCCCAGAGCAGAAGAGCCTCCAGGTACCTGAGCCTGCAGCGGGAGCTGGCACACCGGGACTGCTACATCGTGCCCCTGCCCCCGGGGGGGCAGAGCAGCGGCGCTGAGCACGACCAGCTGCTGCAATGAATCAGCTGCTGCAATGAATCACCCTGAGGGCTCCACAGCTCAGGGGGTAAGGGGCAGGATGTCATTAGTTAAAAACAGTTAATTTTAATCTGAAGGATACTGACCCTGTGCATTGGAGTGAAGTAACAGATGTATGATGTTCACACTACAGAGAGTCTCTGTGATAACTATTCCTATGCAAACATGTTTTCTTATTTACATTCCCTGGGTGCTCTGCAAACACACTTCATCCCAGAAATCAAGACTGCTGTGTAAATAAAGGGTTTTAGCAAATGAACTGTGATATCTTCAGCCCTAGCAAACCAAAATGGTTTTTTCCTGTCACATTTGATTACTGAATGAAAAAAGGGAATATGTGCTTGTGTACTGCTGAAATTCAAATGTAGATTCACTACGTGCAAAGTGATTTTCCTCTGATTACTAATAAATATAACAACAAAGAAATCCAGCCTCTTTGCCAGATATATTCAGTTTTCAGTTTACATTTTGCACATTTATTCTTCAGATCAAGGCAGATGCTTGGTATTAAGAGATAATTTAGTGTCTTATCTGTTAGTAGTTGTATTAAGCAACAGACTCCTCAGAATTTATCTTGGAGTTAAAACTACAGAACTTAAAAATTTGAGTTAAAATGACAGTTCCTCCAACAGCACTTTTACCTGTTGTGCATTACACAGAATGTATGCTGAGGGCAAAACTGGGCAGTCCCTAACTATGTGCAATTTCCCTTTACTTACATTCTAGTTTAAGAGAATAATTTCAGCTTTTTTCCCTTCTAATTTTTATGAAGCAAGCTGGTTTTGGTCCAGCTGCAAGTCCTGTTATGTCAGAGATGGAGGAGTGTTCATGAATGTTTGGAGTTTGTTTACACCTTTGTACTCACAGACCCCATGAACCCCATCCTCCTGTGCTCTGCAGCTGCACACACCACCATCACCACACTGCACACACCACCACCACCACCACACTACACACGCCTTCCATGTTCTTCCATTTCTTGCCAAACTCGAAGTTACAGCTCCTTGGAAACACCCACAGCACAAGCAGAGACACCCAGCTCGAAATGCAGTGTCCTGCTGCTCCTGGAGACCTGTCCACCCCCTCCCAGAGCACAGCACAATCCCTCAGCCAGGATCTGGCTCAAAGAAATCCTGCTGTGCTGTTTGAGGCAGAATCCTCACTGCATTTAAGTCCTGTGTGTTATTTGCTGAATGACAAATACAGTGGCAAATGATACAACTGAGTTATTTGATCCACCTGCACTGAAACATGAAGTACAGTCCTCTGCAGCTTGAAATAAAACACCTTGACCCTACACCCAACACCTCCACACCTGTTCAGCTTGGAAAAGCTTCTGTGCAATTAACATTTCATTTGCCATCCTTCCAGTGGGAGTCAGATTAAATGAAAGCAAAGAGGAAGATCTGCCACCTTGAGCTGTCTGTAGTTTCCTGCATTCATGACATGGCTCTACAGTCTGAAGTGCCCAAATAAACATGACTGTGGGGTTGTGTCTGGTGGGAACAGGTGGAGGTGACACGATTTTTACCAGGTCCCGAACCCCTTTCACAGGGAGTGAAAACAGCAGAGTGTCATTGTCACCAGCTCTGCTGTGTCCTCACTTGTAGCAGATGTGTTCTCACCAAACCTGAACAGCAGGGTGAAGCAGGGAAGCCCAGATGGAATTCAAAAGCCTGAGTGAAGCAGCAAGACTTAAAATGCAGCACAGTTGATACTGAAACCTCCTGGCTCTGCTTGAAAGCAGCTCAGCACCTGCTGGGTTGCGTGGTTGGTTTGTTTTCCTAATGTGGCTTAGCAATAGTAAACATCAGCATTAGCAACCTGCATCCCAGCTGATTAAATCTTGTAAGAAAAAAAGTTAGAAAACAGCAGGCACTATTGTAGCAAAGCTCAGCACTGTCCTGTTCCTCACTCCATCCAAACTGCAGTTAATCCTCATCTGCTTTATGACACGACAGGCCAGGACAGAGAGAGCTCCCAGTGCAACAGGAACAAAAATAAACGTATAAAGTGTTGTAGGTTCTGGGTAAAAGGGACAAAAGCAGCGCTGAATGTGGGACTCACACCTGCCAAGCTAGAGGCACTGAGTTCCTCTCACTGGCTGGGCAATGCTGTGTTATTTTCTGCACAGTAACTCATCCTCAAGGGAAGGGAGGGCCTCAGCTGGGCTGGGCATCTGGCTGGCACTTTGAAGGGAAGAAAAACATCTTACCCAGATGGAGAAAGGTGCCCAACATCTCCCTTTGCTGTTGGGTGCTTAACCCACAGAATTCACTAAAATCCCTGCACATTCTGGGAAGAGTTCCTCAGTTCTGAGCTTTGATTGTGCAAACAAGGCACTGAATCCCAGGGTGCAGGCACCCAACCACAACATGTTACAATAATCAATATTACAATAACCAAATCTCTCCCCAAATCCAAATGCGTGCCGTTTCCTCAAGGCTATGAAGTCAGGTTTTGGTTGAGGAACATTACCACTGATAAGAGTATCAGTGGCTATTTGATCAAAGGTTATTTGATTCACTGTAATTACTGATGGGCTTTAACCATTCAATCTGAGGACTGTCAGGTTTAAGCCCTCATTTCTGAAGGAATGCAGGACCCTGTGCTGAGCCTTACAAGTCCCAACTCTGAACAGGTATTCCCAAGAAACTGTCCCATCCCTCATTGCTCAGGCACTTGGCAGACATTCAGGAGCCAGATCACAGTGCCCATTCAGCACTAATGCCTGCACCTGCCAGGGAAGTAAAAATGATTTAATATTAGCATTTAAAATAGCAACAAATATTAATATTGAAAAAGTTAAACGTTACTAATTGCTGCAGCGTAGCCACCACTCGTTTTATACTTTCATGTTTTATTTTCATTTTCTGTTTTGAACTGGAACACAGCTTGAATTTTTCCTCCCCCTCACGAGCATCACTGTAGCTCAGTGATGTTTTCCAGTACAACATTTACACACGACACACCTCACTTCAAACAGCACTGACACAAACCAGCTGTGTGTGTTGACAGGAGCTGTTCTGAGGCAATGGGTCATCGTGGGATCAGGGAAAAAACACCAAGTGGGTTTAAAAAAGCGAGTTTTTCCTGTGCAGTCAGTCAGGCTTCATCTTGCTCACTGCGCTCACGGGAAGAAACCCAACGACTGACAATCAGCTCCTGAAATAAACCGGGATTGTTATGGAAAAAAACCCAAAGCTACAGGCGACCAGTGAGGGATGGGAATTAGGTCTCTAAAATTGATGAATATTATGTGACCACTGAGAAATTTTAGTAGCTGACTGCATTTCTTCCTGACATGAGCTGGTCTCACATGTACTTCTCCCTCCATTTTTGAACATATATTAACCTTACATTTTCCACAGGCACCCCCATTTCCACATGCAAATGCTTCCATTGACACTAACAGCAACATTCAACTTTAGATCAGAAGATGTGAAGTTTTTAGAGAGCCTGCAATGCACATCTCATGCCCTGGGGCATGAAGCAATCTAATTATTTTATTGCAGCTGTGCTTGAAAAACTCCAAATGAAGGCAAAGAGGCAGGGACAGCTCTCCCAAGGAGCTGTGCAGCTGCTCCATGGCAAAGCCACCCCTGGCACAGAGAGCAGAACCACTCACCTGGACTTTGATCCTCTTCATACACTCTGGGCTCGACATCTCCTCTGCAGTCATGTCAGAGGGTTTAATCAAATAGCAGAGCATCAGCTCCTGTTGGCAAGCAGCAAACACACCCAGGGATTCAGAGGGATTATGGAAGCACCGGGCTTGAAGCTCTAGCACAGAGGAAAACAAGCTGCTCTGTTCAAAACGAAATCCTGGTAGATGGAGGGGGTTTTAAAAACACAAGTGGTATCAGGAAACAAGTGCCCTCAGGTCTTCCTTTTGTTCCTCACACAGCTTTTAACACTCCTTCAAGCACTGAACTTTAATAAGCCTCACAGCATTCACCAGGATATTGACCAAAGAAACTTGTTTCCCCACTGGCAACTCAACATGTTGTTGAGCAGAAGGATTCTCTTCCCAGCCTCACTCCTGCTCCTGGGAGCTCACCTGTCCATTTGTCACGTTAAAGCAGTTTTAAACACTGACCTTGGAAGCATTAGCAGTTGTCCTGTTGAGCCCAGACAGGGACATCCAGCTGAGAGGTCTGCGCAGAGATCCCTGGAAATCATCATCCACCAGTTCAGCCAGGACAGAGTAACTGCACAGCAGAGCACACAGCACAGCCCACTGAGACAAATTACCATTTTAGCAAGACAACTTAAGAACTAGAGGCTAAAAACTGGTGTTAAACAATATGCCAGCGTGGAGGCAGCAAACTGTGACACTTCAGTCTCTTTCTACAAGGAAAAGAGAAGAAACAATGAAGGTGGGAATTGCCACCTGCCCTCCCCACCCTGATGTCTGGAGCATTCTCTTATGAATGCCAAGCTGACATATTTAACCAATTTATTTTACCTCACTAGCTAATGAACACAGACAATTATGATCCCTTTAAAATTTCTTCTCCCAAATTACATGAGTTATCTATACCATATATTTTCCAAAGTCAGTTTTACTTATTTACTTATAAATCAAGTTACTTTCCTGAGTGCATTTGTCAGAAAAGTGTTCAATATGCTCGCTGCAGCCTCTAATTTTTAATGTCTGTTAGTTAAATTCAATTAAATTATGTCATTTAGTATCCCTGCTAAAAGGATTTTCACATTCCCAATATGAATACATCCAGAAATATATCTTGACTGATGAACATGTACTTAAGCAGTGAGAATGTGTGAAAGAAATTTAGGTTGAAACAAAGAAATTTGACAGAAACACGAATGTCAAACCTGGCATGATAGAAGGGGGGGCCTTTTCGATACAGCACTGAAATGGAAGAGAAACACCTTAGTCTGATAACTGTGAGAGGACTGTAAGAGGGGACTTTCTTTAACTAGCAGAGCTTTTCTTACACAGCTTTCCCTGTCAGGAAAAGGACTTCATTCCTGACAACCAGGACTTTTAAAAAATACCTCCCTTAATGCACATTCTCCTCTAATGACAGGCTTTACTGTACTGCTTGTGTGGACATGAGCTAAATGTAGTTCTTGAACTACTTAGCAAGGGATTCTGGACACATTTCTGTAAAATTAAAACCCCAACCATTAACAAAGAAACAAGTCCCTTCTCCCTCTACTCAAAAAAAGCCCCAAGAAAAACCACCCAGAGAAACAGTCTTAGCAGTAAGTTCAGCATAAGTCCAGCTTCTGTTAACTGGGATGAATGAGATCCACGGACTTTGTGAATTTGGATCTGGATTCCAACCTGTTATTCTAGGGACTGTCACACTGCAGAGGGTGTGTTTAGAAGGGGATGGAGGCACTTGGGAAGGGAATTCCAGTGGAATCCTGCAGGAATTATTAACCTCGTGAAGGCAAACAACAGGCCTCTGAAGCTGCCTCTTCAGCTCCTGACTGTGGGATGGGATTTTCCCCCCACACCCCAACTTTACTGCCAACCCACAGCCAGCCCAAACCAGCTTTTGCCAAGGGCAAGCAGCAAAGGCTGCTGCAGTGCCCGAGCTCCTCCGTGGCACCGCAGCCCTGCCCTGCCCGAGGAGTGCAGATGTTCCAGGAGGTACTCACGCAGGTCGGTCCCGTACTTGAGCCCCACCTTGGGCACCCAGCCCCGGCTACGGAAATAGTGATAGGCCATGTAGGTGGTCTTGAAATCGGGCTTCACCTCGCTGAACACCTGCCACAGCTTCAGGATGCTCAGGGGCTCCTGCAGGGCACACACAGGGCACGGGGGCTGCAAGGCACACACCGACACCGGCACAGCCAGACCCGCAGTGCGGGCACTGCCCCAGGGACACACGGAGCCTCAGAGAACAAGGCTGCTACAAACCTGCTGCTCTGCTTAGTGGGCCTTTTTAGCACTTCACCAACAGTCCCACAAGGCCCTCGTTTAAAGGAAAGGCTGATCAACCTCAAACTAGAAGCCCGGGTTTCAGTTATTTTGCCAGGACATTACTTGGAGATTAATGCTCAAAACTCCAAGGAGTGTTGCCAGCTCAGGTAAGACTATTCACTAGATTGCTTCTCCCTTATTTGCCCTTCCCATGTTTCCTGCCTAAACTATAACAAAAAACCTTCCTCTGCTTAATTATGTTTGTCTTGCTAAACTGAAAACTTTCAGACCAGTCTTTCCTAAACAGAAATACCATTATCCACGAGAAGAACTTCCCAATTACTCTGTTTGGTATTTCCTCCTCCAGAATTCACAGCATAAATTACTGCCATATTAAGTAAAAATTTCACACCAAACTGTATCCAGACTAATGGTATCCCCAGTAACCCAAAATTAATCCAATCTCTTACCTCACCATAATAAACACTTAAACATCCCAGAGCATAGACCAAGAAAAAAGCCTGGAAAAGTAAACAGAGTAAGTTTAAGTAATATCTAGTTTCTTCCTGTGGCTTATGTTTCATGCAAGAACAAAAGCTCAAATTAACTTTGTACAAGAGTCCTCATGTCACAAGACTTGTGTTCATGACCTTTACATTTCAACAGACACAGAAAAATCTGTGAACTACAAACCATCTCTGCCTGTGCTGCACGTTCCTGGGGGCCTGGTGTCACATCTAATATATTTAGAGGCAGCACAACTGAAACAGGATTTATATAAATGTCATATTCCTGGTATTTCTATACTTAAATCCCACTGGTCTCTCTGCCAGTGGGATTATTCATCTAAAGCAAATGGGATTGGACCTTAAATATTTTTAACCATATCCTGTAATTCCTGCAGGTTATTAAAAACAAGTTTAATGACTAAGACAATCCAAATCCTTAGGAGACAAAGGAGAGCCCTGTACTTTAGAAACAGGTATTAAATTATGCTGTAACATAGACTAATGTCTACTTTTTCAGCTTAAAAGCAAACCAACTTGTACTTGGAACATACCTCTTCCAAACTGAGCTGTAAATATTCAAAAATCCTAAATGGATTTTTTCTGCACACCAGTTTCTCCTTTTTGACAAGCTATAAGAGAAAAAAATTACTGTATTATTAAAACTTTTAACTGGAAAAAACACTGAATTCTGAAAACAGCACTGATGCTAGAGATTTTCTAAAAGATCGGGATACTCTTTTTCCTTACATTTCCTTGTAAACAGGCAGAGTCATCTTCAGGACATGAGCTCCCTTCTTCTTCCTCTTGCACCAACACATATTCTGGAGCATTTTGCTTTGCCTCGCCCCCCTGCCCAGCCCTCTGCTCAGGGCTCTGCTTGCCCTCACAGCCACCGAGCACAGCAGCACCACCCTTCTGGCAGGACCCTTCCTGCAGCCCTCTGGAGTCACCTTGTTCCTGCTGCTCACAGCCACACACAGGGCTCAGCCCTGCACCTCCTTCCAAACAGGCTTTCCCGGAGCCCCCATTCTGATCCTCAGCACTCAGGGCTCCTGCACTGCCAGGATCTGCACCAGACTGGCTGGAAGGTTCAGTGTTTTCTGTATTTGGGCCCATCCTGTTATTCACAGTTTGTTCAGCTCCAGGCTCCGTCGGCTCCAGAGGTTTGGTGTAATTTTCGAGGATCTGGGTAACTGAGCAGTCATCGAAGCCTTGCTCTTGCAGAACACTCCTGGCCCACTGAACACGGCGCTGGTACCTGGGGAACAGGAGACAGGAGAACTTGCAGGGCATTGCATCCTTTAATTCACATTTTGAACCAGGGACCTTCAAAGCAGAGCATCCAGCACAGTTCACAAACAAAGCTGAACACACCCTAACAACTGCTGTGCAAACACAAGTGTGCCCAACGCAATGGGGCTCCAGATTTTGGGGGTCTGGAGGTGACACCACTGAACATCAGGATTCTTCCCCTCCTCGGGTTTTGCCCCTTAAATTTGTGTGGCCCAAACACCACTGCTGGGGCCTGCAGCACAAGGGACTGTGGAGTTTCAAGAAGCAAAAAACCTCACCAGGCAAAACGTCCCTTCTCCCATGGGAGCCCTAAACCTGAATCCCCCAAAAAAACATCCTGGTACCAGAGCTTGAAGGATTAAAATATGCAATAAGACTTAGCATGCAGAGCTCTCACCCACTTCATCTGTTTACAGATAACTGAGAGCAGCAGCTTCAAAACTCTGTTCTAAGTACCTTTCAAAAAGCAGTGACATAGCAAGAACACCAGGGTAAAAATCTTAAGCAGAAGCTACCTTTTTTAACCAAAAACCTCAGAGTTATATCCCTGAGAAATAACAAGAACCCTATCAGTGAGACAGTGGCTGAAAGCTGTAAATATGTCTAATATTTCTCAATTATGATACATTTTTTAGTGCCCTTTCTGTTATTATTTCTCCTGGAAAATATCATTAATATGCAGTTAAAGACACAAATCTTCCCTCTGTGCATCTGCAGGGATCTGAGGGCATCTGTCCTTCCTCAAACCTGGACAACTCTAGGACAATATTCTTCACTTCCCTGAACAAAATCCTGAGGCAGCAATTCCATACCAGGTAATGAAGAACTACAAAAAGCATTAAATGCAACTTTCCTGTGTCAACACAAACACAAGTCCCTGGGAAGCCTCATAACAAAGCTGAATCATTCAGTGCTGTCCCTTTTGTCACAGAAAAGAGACTCCCCGTGCTCCTGTGATTAACGACCACGTAATCTGCACTTCAGATCTCTACTGGAACAGCTCACGAAGCCTTTTGTGCACCAAGATAATCCCACTTTCACTGATGCTCAGCCACTGCTGGCACATAAAGCTGGCACGTATTTCTGTGAGCACTAGCACAGTAGTAATATTGATACTGGTTTTCTTATCTAAAACTGAGGACTGAAGGAGCATAATTTTCAAATTTAAGTTGCTTAAGCAAAATGAAAATGTGGTCCAACACTGTTTTGCTAAGCTTAGAAACCAGTAATGTTAATTGATAATTTGTATTAAAAAAGTAAAATATTAGTGCATTATAAAAATTCAAGAGCTGCTTCAGTCTAGGCTATAGCAATTCCTTAAGGAAATGGAAGCTGTTTTAAAGAGTCTGCCCCAGAAACTTGTTTTTCTCCTCCTCAGCTGAGAAACAAGTTTATTATGATTATTATGATTAATCACCCACCCTACTATGCATGCACTCAGTCTTGGCCTCTATTCAGCAATCAATACCTGCAAGATTACACGAAAACCCCCACTGATTATCCTCTACTCTATTTCCAGTTCTTGTAATGTGATTTATAAATGAAATAATGAGAAAAGAAATAGAAGCAAATCATCAGTTATACAGCCAACAACCCGAAAACCAGAAAGAAAAAAATATAAACCAGAATAATATGTTTCCTCAAAGCACCAAGAATAAGTTAAAACAAATTAACTTACTTTTGAGATGTAATTATAGGCATGTTTGTGTTGACACCTGTACAAAGATAAACCATACATTGTTTCATCAATATCCAGACGTTTTTGTGTGGGTTTGGTCACTGGGCTGATCTGCAGCCTGACAATTACCCCCATCCTTCAAAGCCATTTTGGTCCCACTTGTGTTCAAGGACCCAGCAGAACCAGGAAAGGTGCAGAGCTAACAGCCTGCACAAGGGAACAGTTAAATACACCTTTTTTCTCCAGCCCATAAAAAGACAATGATGAGGGGATATGATAAAATCCAGTGATGTCGATTGAGACTTAACTGAAAGATGAGCAAAGAACGACAATATAAACAACCAAGAGCAGGCTGGGTGTAATTGGCCACAAGCAGATTAAAAAACTCACATATCCTTCCCTCGTGATTCCATGGACACTAAAACATATAGATTAAAGCCAAGAAAAACTGGAGAGTTATGTGAAGAGAAGTCCAAGGATCCCTTTATTACAGACTTCCTAAGGAACACCCCGGGAAGGCAAGGACAATGCAATGAGGAGCTGTGGCACATTTCCCCTTCCTGGGTGTTTCCCAGGCATTCCCCAAGCACTGAGAGGGGAGACAGATCCTCCATCGGACACAGTGGAAGAACCTTCAGAGGACATTTACCTTGCCACTTAGCAACCAGCAGGGGGTCTGAAATGCTGAACACCGGCCGACTTCTTGAAAGGATTCCTTTCCCAAAATAGCCCTGCAACAGAAAGGAAAAATATCCTCATTATCTCTTAACAAAGAGATGAATTTATTTCCAAATTGCAATATGTGGACTGCCAAGGTCAGCTGAAACACATCTACAATTCAGCAGCATTTAAGCTTTGCCTGGAACTTGTTTATCTGCTGGTAAGTGGTCAGTATGAGGTCCTGCACTCAGAGATCTAACCAGGTGTGCTGGTTTAACTGGGCTTTTTCTGGCCTTCTCCTCAATCCTAAAGATTTGTCAGGCAACACCTCCAAATAGGCATCTGGAAACAAACACAGGAGACACCGCCTGTGTCCTGGTGCTGTGACAATGGAAACCAAACAGATACCACTGCACAAGAAGGGTGCTGAAACGGTGCTCAGGCATGAAAGGAGTAATGTAGCTTATTTTACACAGGAATAAATCACTCTGATGCTAAAATAATTACAGAAGCCTTTATAAAATGTTAATATTCCAACCTCCTGGGCTTTAAACATAAGAAAGTAACTTCTGAGAAGTTACATAAAATGTTGAAAGGAGACATGAACAAACATGAAGGCTTTGCAGTTGTCTTTTAGGTCACAATGTCAATTCATTCAAAAAACTCGCTTCAATATAAGAAACACTATTCACATTTGACCCAGAATATAGGTTTTGTACTGATTTCAGGAGAGAAGGGAGATACGAAGAATCACACGAGGCTGAAGGTGCAGGAAAACATAAAGGCAGCAGATTTTAAGCAGTACTACGCTTTACCTGCATTAAAACACTAAAAATGCTGTGCAAAGAGGGTGCAGCACCTTGTTATAGAGCTGTTCAATGTCCTCCGGGTTCCTCACAATCACGTGGTTGTTGATGATTTCAGCCTGGCACATTCTGAAATCCTTCCCACCCACATCCACAGGGAAGGGACCCTCGTAGGACTCAAAAACTCTTCTCTTCCTTCTTGGGGGGTGAAAAGCTGCTTCTGCCATTTCCTGATGTTAATGTTTCCTCCTAAAAAGTGGAAAGAAAAGATTCAGTGTTTAGGTTTAGTGTTTTTCTATATTTCAGCAACATCCCCTTGGCAACAACAAATTATCAATGAATCCTCCACCATAATACAAGTTTAATCCTGAAACTCTTTCACCACACAAACACAGGTACTGATGCACTGGTGTTCTCTGTTCATCTGTCCCCCTAGACCAGGCTGGGATGGTTCTCAGCCAAAAGTTTATGAAGAGAACTTCCCAATGAAAGACTTATAATTAAAAAAAAAAAAATTATAAGCGTACACCTGTATATTATGCACAAATTCGTATTTATAAACTTTAATAATTTGTATATAAATGAATTTATATATAAATATATAAATTTATATAGAAATAAATATATATAAAAATTTATATAAAATTAAATTCATATATAAATAAATTTTTATAAAAATATAGAAAAATAAATTTATAAAAATATTTTAATATAAATATAGAAAAATAAATTTATTAAAAAATTATATATTAATAAATGTATAAATTTGTGCACGTATCTTCACGCATTTGCCAACTTGTAGGTTCCTTAAAGGCCACAGAGGAAAGAGATTACAAAGGAAAACTTCAGCACATAAAACTGTGAGTTCCTTGTATGTTGCGAGCGCTCCGGGAGCAAAGGAGAGGAACGAGCAGAAACCACAGCACACAAATTTACTGAACACAGACTGAATGCACATTAAAGCGCTTGAGTAAAGCCTGTCCTGAGGAGTCTGAGGGAGGGAGCGCTCTGAGGGGACAGGGTGGGACTGTGCGGGGGGGGGGGGGTGTCTGGGCAGGACCGCGGCCGCTCCGGACGGTACCCGTGGGGTCCCCCCCCACAACCCGCACATTCCCCCGGCTGAGGGCGGTGCCGCAGCGGGATGGGAATCCCAGGGAATCCCAGAGAATCCCAGAGAAAGGATCTCCCATTCCCCCATCCCATTCCCGCCTCCCCCTCTCCCCTCACGCACCGGCCCCGCCGCGCCACGATCCGCCGGCCCCGCCCACCCGCGCATGCGCACCGAGCGCAGCCCTCTGAGGGGACAGGGAGGGGGGCGCCGCCATGATGGGCGGGTGGGCCTCGGCCCCGCTGAGGGGACGGGGAGGGAGTCCAGCCGTGAGGGGTGGGCGAGCCCGACCGCGAGACTCCGCCTGGAGCAGGTCGACGCCCCTGGACAGGGGCGTCGAGCTGCTCCAGGCGGGGTCCCGCGGCCGGGGTTGTCCGGGGTTCGGCTCCCTGACACCGGCTGTGGCAACCCGGGACAACATAACCCTGGCTTGCCCAAGGGAGGAGGACCTGCTCGTGCCGTTATAAAAGCAGGTTCCTGAGTGCAACGCCAGGTTTTTGGTGGTTTTTTTTTTTTTTTTTCGGGGCAGACATCCCCTCCTTCTGTTATGGTTCACAGCTTGAGCCTTTTGGCCATCAAACCCCTACGGCACGACCGCTCTCTTGTGTTCTTACAGCTGGTGCCTACAGAGGTTCCCTTTCTATGCCAGCTCAAGATGTTAATTTATTTTGAATGCTGGTTCATACATAAAGTGTTGAAGCAAAACCGCAGAGGGGCCTGTTGTATTCCTGCCACCAAAGTACAGAGAAACACTTTGATAACTTCAGACTCGTTCTTAGAGCTGTACCATTAAAATGCCCCGTGTTAAAATGTTCCAGGTAACAAGATGAAAGCCAGCACTGAAATAAAGGCGAGTTAAAATACAATAAAAATTTTGTTATATTGGTATAATTTACCTATGATGTTAAATGTGACTTCACAAAATTGTAACTGCTCGAAAGAAGGTTGATGCTCAAACTGTGGGCAATTAAGATAAAGCTAGCTTACCTAAACAAAAGGGATTGTCAGGGAAGGCAGGAAGGACTTCTAGCATGGAGTATTGCAAGGGAGACAGAAGAGGGGTGGGGGAAACCTAAGCTGTTTAAATGATAAAACCTTATGTAACTACTCTACAGTAGTAAGAATAGGAGTTAGGTAACTAAATGTCTGTTTAGATAAGGCAGACTTTGTAAAGAGTGTATGTGATAAATAGTTTTGAAACTCACTCCTTCAAATGTATAAAAAGCTGTTGTGTTCCTTTACTCGGTGGACTGCACGGGGTGGGGCAACCCCCCTGTGTCTCCCCGGCCATAATAAAAGTGTGCTTTACATAGACTTCAAGGATTTCTTTGAATCAGCATCAGAGCTCTTACTGATTCAAAATTGCTTCTAACTTCGTCAAATCGAGCCCTCGTTTCAATGGCAGCGGGGTTTATCTGTGCTGGATATATCTGTGTTTTCTCCTCGTGCAGACATTGCCCCCAGATGTGCATTGCAGCAAGAAGGAGACAAAACACAAAGAGCTGCAGGTTTTCCTTCACATCTCCTTATCTCTGAGCAGCCTTGAGAGGGACCCCAGCACAGGCCAGTCACTCAATTAACTAATCACACCCCTGTCCCTTCAACCCAAGATCTGCTCCCATTTCTGATGATAAGCCCAGACTGCTGCAGCCAGCACTTGCTGTCTGAAGGACAAGCTCCCCTGGATGAGTCACACCATATTTCTTTCAGAATATCGATAATTGTACAGACACTTCCACAAATGTCTGCAGCTCTCTTGTTATGATGAGCCAGCGTTTGGGCAGCACCTAAATGAGAGGCTCTGAACAGCAACCCTCAAGGTCAGAGTGAATCACAGAGAGGCAGGAATATCACACTGCTGCCAGGAGCCAAGGGCAGAGTGATCTGTGAGGAAAGCCTGAAATGACTCAGTCTAGAGATGGTAAAATGGGCAAAAGAGACCATTGCAGCGAGGGGGACATGCATTGTTCTGCATGACCACTGGGATACAGAAGGGGCAAAGGGGTCACACTGCAAAATAATATTGTGCCTGTGAGGTGAGGATGACACTGAGGGGTCTATCATGCCCATCACTGGGAATTTTAAGAGCAGCTTAGACAAACATCTTCCAGAAACACTACAAATTAAGTTAATCCTCCATCGAGACAGGGGGCTGCACTAAAAGCCCTGGAGATCCTTTCCTGGAGTTTTCAGGGTTTGTTTTTCCTTCTGGGAGCGCTGCTGCTCCCTGCTGCTCTCTGCAGTGCGGCAGAGAATCCGGGCTCGGTGCTGCCCTACAGAGGTGAACACCTGCAGCCTGTGTCCAGTCCTCCTTCAGCTTTCCATCCCTGGTACAGTCTTCACTGTTCTGTGTTGTCTCTGGCTGATTCATTGCTCTAATGAGACTTTGCAATTGCTTACTATTTCTTGAAACTCAGCTGAATCACTGCGTTATTAAATCAAGGTCCAAACCAATGTCAGCTTTCTGACAAGCCTAATATGACTCTCTAAATCATGATGGCTGTAACCCTTCAGTTCTAGAAATGCCTTGCCTTCAGCTCTGACACTGCCTTTGCTGCCTGATTTTCAGTGGTGTCTGTGTCCCTCTGTTTATGTTGGCACGCCTGGAAGTCCTGTGCTATATGGATAGAAATGTTTATTGTATAGCACAATATGGATAGAAATGTTTATTGTATAGCACAGTCCCATGCTGTATGGATAGAAATGTTTATTGTATAGCACAGTTCCATGCTATATGGATAGAAATGCTTATTGTATAGCACAATCCCATGCTATATGGATAGAAATGTTTATTCTGTAGTACAGTCCCACTTGGGACACGAGTGTACCCATAGGAAACCCTGTGAGCTGGCAATGTCCTTCCAGGAGGAAAAATGCTTCTGCTCTGTCTTGTTATGGGATTTCTCAAGCAGTGGTGGAGGAGCAGAGCTGAAAACCAGTTACAGTGGCAAGACATGCTCTCCCTGCCAGGCTTATTAAACTGTTCCTGTGACCACAGACGTGGTAATTTCCTTTCAAAGCTGCATAACATTTACAGTTGTGTGCTCCGAGCCTCTCTGTGGTTTGTGTCCTTCCACAGTGACTGTTACACTGCAGAGTTCATCTGGAATTATTTGTATGAAACACTCCATTTATAGAGTAGGAGTCCATTTAATATTACATTAACTAATATTTAACAACTAATATTAACCAATTATCATGCTATGGAGTTTCTACTTCATAAAATTAAGTTGCCATATGCAGGGGATTTTGTTTTCCAAGGTGGTTGTTTCCTGGATGCTTAGGGACTTTTATAGGGAGTTGGGAAGTTAATTCCCAGTTCCTATCTCAGCCAAAACATACAGGCCAGGTACTCTTGAAATACATATTTTACATGCTTAGGCTTATTAAAAGAAACAGAAATGTCAGCTTGTAAAACTTTTTGCCCATGTAGCACTTTCAAGCAAGTTAGTCATAAAATCATAGAATAATGATCTATTCTTGTAGTGTCTTTAGATAATTTTGGAATCCATGCCAAGAAAAAAAGGTTTTGCATAAAATCTCATAAAATTCAAGTAATGATTTGTCATTATAATAATTTCTGTCTCTGGTTTCGACAGAATGTGCCTGTGAAGTTTTCTTATCCCATTCTATTTATAGTCCACAGAAAAAAACATGAGCTCACTCTCCTTTTAAAATAAAGCCCTTTGTTTCTCACAAGGTGATTTGGACAGTAGTGGGAAGATGGACTCTACTTATTTACATTAGCCAGTTCCAATTTCCCCAGACTGACAGAAATTCCCAGGGAAATTCTGGTTACATTAACTTTGACAGAGATATGGGACTGTTTTTGGAAACTTAAAAAAAAAAACCCCAAACAACTAGGGAATACTTTTCATTTTTATTAATATGCAGTATCTTAATTTTGTTTATTAAAGAAATAAATCAAGGTTAGTTTCTGCTTAGTTTCAGATGGTTTTCACAGGAGACCAAAAAAACGAGAAGTCGGACAAATATTGGCCAAGCATCAACCCAGTAAGGAATCCCATAATAAAAATCCCGAGGTGAACAGAAAGAAAATGAAGAGCATGAGAAAAGGGAACATTAAATATGAGTATGCTGTTAGCGTTCTTACTTCAGACTTGGGCACTGCTTTTGTGTTCTTGGAGATTAAACACACGTGGATGAAGACTTGTAGCAAACCCTCTGATCCAGCTGCCTTCCCATGCCGTGCCATGCCATGCCATGCCATGCCATGCCATGCCATGCCATCCCAGCAGGTACAGCCCGAGGGCTCTCACAGACCTCACAAGGCACAGTCACTCCTGGTCCTCTTGGGCAGCTCCCAATTTCTGTCACAAACCACATGAATTTGAAAATGATGTGAACATTCATTTTCTCTCCATCAAGTCTTTCAGCCCTCCTAAAGTCACTTCTTTCCTTCCCCCCATGCAAACTAAAGCAGAAAGTCTGGCCTTGCCATTCCAGGAGCAATTAAGAGCACTTCCAGCCCCCGAGTTTTGCCCAGCCCTCGAGCTCCAGCATCAGATTTATTTCCCTTTTGGTGAAGAAACATTTGTTCTTTTGTAGGTCATTAGTTTTCCTGCTTCATCAACCCCCTGGGTGAGTTGTTAAATGATGTGCAGCTTCTCTTCTGCCCGGTTTGGACTCTCACCTCCAGCTCACGGGACTGAGCCCTGGGCAGGCAGTGAGAAACAAGGACAAAACTCCAGGTTGCACGAGACCATCAGTAAGAGCCCGCTTTTAAGCTGTATTTCAGCTGGCAGCACTGTCGCAGGGGGCTGTCTCCACTAGGTGTCCGTGTTTCAGCAATTTTCGATGAAAGCCTCAGTGAGCGCAGTAGCCCCATGCAAAAAGCAGAACGATTGCCGTGCCCGGCTGGAAGATGGAAACACAAGATAGATTTCCATCTCAGGGCAGTGTGCACCTGGGCCTCTGCCTGGAAAGGCACCAAAGCTAGCACAGAACACTCAAACCCCGCTTTTCACTTAGACTCTCAAACAGGTCCTTTGAGGCTGGCAGACTTTTCACATATTGATTACTGTCTCCCTGTTTACAACCTTACTTTTCCTAATAATTTCTCAAATTATTCTGTGTTTTGTATTAACTTGCAGGAGTAAATAGTTGGAAAAAGCTTTTTTCCCCCCTAGTTTCTCTGTTCATAGCTCTGTTTTGCATTCAGGTGAGTGCAGAATCCTCAAAACAGTGGCTCACATTTTTAGATCCGCCTCCATAATTGTTAAATAATTGCTTTGCTCATTGCATTTCTCTTCAAATATTGATGGCTAATGTTTGCCTACTTTGCCTGAGTATCTAATGGGTGTTGGAAGGCACAGTCATGCTCCTGTGCATATAAATTCGTGCTCACAATTCTGATAAAACTGTAGGTTTATTTATTGAAGATGCTCTTCACTGCACATTTGTGTGATTTCCACACCCATTCATTAATAAGAGGTTGGAGAGCAGCTGTTTCATTCAAACACTCGGGAGTTCCAAGGAGCTGAAATGAAGGCCTTATTTAACATTACTGAATCCCCTTCTAGGCATAACCCAGCAGATTTTTTTTTTCACTGTTTTCCTTCTGGTTTCCCAGGCATTTTGGGTTTGTTAAATGGATTTGAGGGAGTGCTGTGTGCCAGAACATTTGAAGGCAGGTTCCAGCACCAGATGCAAACTGGGCTCTAGTGATTTATAATTCTCATAGATGTGAGTGTAACAGCTAAAACTGAATTGGACTCCAGCACTTTTACCTCTTTTTAAGAAAACAGAATAGGTTATTCTTATTACATAACAAAATGAAAATCTGGTGTCACTCCATTTAATTTAGACCCTGTCCAGGAATGTACTTTAACGTGCTGTCTGCCTTTAAGCACAGAAACAATCCTCCAGGCTTCAGATGTTACCTGAACTGTGTCTCAGAGCTCATCCTAAATGCTGTCCAGGTTCATGTGTCAGAGCTGACAGAAGGACAAAATAACAAGGAAATCAAGATAAAGGTCTGAATCATCACATTCTAAGAACAGAAATAAGCCAAACAAATCAATTTGTTGCCAAAAGTATATATGTTCTTAAATAAATTTAAAAAAAAACAAACGAAAAACAAGCAGACCCAGAACATCCTCTTACGGAATATATCCCAATCTTGAATATTTACTTTCCATTTGTTTAATAACAGGAAAAGGCTTGTAGCTCTTTTGTTGAGTTTTACATGTCAGCATCTAAATATTCTGGTGGTATTCTTAAAACTTTTACCAGGAAAAACAACAGTGCCATGGCCTATACTAGGAAATGTTCTGTTTATTTTAAATGCATTTATGAGCGCACAAAGGCAAACAATTACCTGTCATAAACCGAGGGAGCAACTCATAATGGCTTGGTGTCTCACTTGTACTTCTTTGTGTAGTTCTTTGGCTCATTTGTCCCTGCCCTTCCTGTGTTCTGTTCCTCACCCCTCTCTGTACCTTTTGAACCTGAGTGTGGGTTAAACCCCTTTTCTCACTGCCCCATTTACCTGCTGGGCTCTGCTTCTCCTGGTGTCTCAGCCATGAGAAACGTTGGGATAAAGGTTTATCAGGGATCTGTTTCTGGACCCCCTCGACAAGGATTGTCACCAGCATGGAAGAGGGAAGCCTGAAACCCAAGGGCTGATTTTTAAGTGCATAATCCTGCACTGGACTCTGAAAGAAAGAATGACAAACAGCTTTCAAAGATCATTAAGCTTCCTACAGGAGTATTATAACCTATTTTGGCCTTTCCTGTTCTACTGTGGCAACTGCAGTAACTACAGTAAATTTTGGCCTGATCATCTTAAAAAAGAGATAATTCTGTCACTGGAGGGTAGACTAAACTCTAAACTAGGCTAGTTGTTCCCTGTGTGTAACTATGGGCTTGTTTAAACAATGACTAAGCTACAAACAGCAGGCCACTGGATTCCCTTGGATCAAAATTGTGAGCACAGGAGTGCTGGAAATCCAGCTTCCAGATAAAATAAAAGTAAATAACTCATAAAAGGAAGTGCAAACAGCAGGGAAATCTTGCTTGCATCTGTCAAGCTGTGTAAGGGACAGTCGGAGTGGAAAGAATGGTCAGATTAGGAGGCTCTGGGTGGGCTTTGAGGGCATTTTACATACCTGAAGTAGCTGGGAGGATGTGTGATCTCCACCTGGCTGTTCTGCACCTTCACTACCTGAGCCACACGAGGCATGTCCTGCACAGACACCAAAGTTTCAATAGTGAGCTCAGGGCTCAGAGACCCAGGCTGTGTTATCACACCTACCTCCTGATCATGGCCAGGAAAATGAGATTCAGCACAAAGCTGGGATCATCAGCACTCCTTTAAAAGTGGCTGGTCTCACTGCCGGGGGGGCTGCTGATCTGAGGTTGTTCACCAGGAGTTTACCCAGGAAAGAGCTGGATAATATCCATTTCACAGCTCAGGTGACTGACCAGGGATCCCTGGAATGGCAGGTCAGGCACAACCATTCCAAATCAGGCCAATGTGGACATGCTGTGTCAGCTAAAGGGACCTTTGTAGGAACAAACCAAGTCTATGAAATGGAATTTGAACACTATTTAGTAGTGAGGGCTTTGTAAGCAAGATATATTTCAGAAATCTGAGTGCAAAAAAGGAGATGATCCAGAAAGACTTTTTACGTTATGTTAAGAATTGAAAACATAAACATATTAACCCTGATCATGAGTGTGGTCACTGAGAGAAATGTCTGTAATGTTGGTTAATATTAATATGTTCCTCTGAAGATGGTAATAAGATCATATTAACAACATGAGTGAATTAAAGAGGTTGGCACAGGGCAGAACTGGTTGGTCAGGACTCTTCTGAGCAGTACAACCAGTGCTTCAACCCTCAGAGACTGAAAATCACCTCTGCTCACCTGCAGAAAGAGTGGCATTTTGTGTTTCACTTCCCTTGGAAATGGCTTGGACTTCATCGCTCAAAAAGCAGGATAATAATGGATCAAATGGCTAAATAAATGTTGGACCTATTCTGAAGTAAAAAGAGAAGCCCAAGCAATTTGTATTTACCCTGGTGAAACTGTGCCATGATCCAAGCCCACCCCTGGAGCTGACCTTGGTGTGTTGGACTCAAGCTGAAGTGCTTGGTCTTCCCTGAGCTGTTCCCTCAGGGTTCCTTCTGCACATCAGCTGCCACAGAATACTCAGTGATGTTTCTGCAAGGTTATTTTCACACATGCTAAAATTTACAACGAGCTCCAATTCTTTTGCTTCTCCCATAAATCCAGAGCAGAGGAGCGTGGCCAGGCAATATGGGTGGCTGTGCTGGAATATGAACAACGCTGTGGTTGCACTGCAGCAGGTTATGAAACCTCCTGCGCAATTTATGACAACTGGATTTTGTATCACGAGGGAAGAAGTTGATTAACAGTCAAATGACGACTGGATGTTGGTATTCAGATGTGTAAAACAACAGATACAAACATGCAAATCATACACATATAATTGAATGTCCCAGAAAAACTATATAAATGCCCCATGTCTCATATCTTTTCCCTGATAATAGCAGGGAGAAATTACAGACATAATTTAATGATCTAAAATGTGTTGGCTTTCAACATTTATGGTATTTCATATAAGTGATTTTCATCCTGTTGTGTCCTGAAACGCTAGAGAAAAATGAAGGATGTTTGAATTAGCACTTTCAGCCTGCCCCAGATGGAAAACTCCATCCACAAATGGATATATTCCAGTCATTGTTTTACAGCCACAGAGACCCACAGGAGAATCACAGTCTGCAAAATGCCTGGAGGGCTCAGCATTTCTGCATTTGGGTCTGGGGTTAGGGAGAACACTTGCAACAGAGCACCCTGATGGATGCAGCTCTGAGAAGGCTCTGAGGTGCCTTTGAAAGTGCTTAAAGTCTGGAACAACCAACCTGTGCTCAATTTGTTCTGGATATAATTGTGGGAGTTTGATGCACAGACTGCCTGGAACAGTGGGATAAACCCTCCTGTTTTGTCACACCATTGTCCACCTGGGGTGAACAGAGAACCACTGTGTGCTGATCAGAGAACGGAGTCCTGTGGGGGATGAGGCTGGAATTCCATGGGAACAGTCTCCAGGACTGTGGATTTTGGGTTTGCATATGATGTGCAGGTTGCTGTCAGGGGGTGGGTGCAATTTTGGACCCTAATTCTGCAGTCATATAAAGAGATGTTTGTTACATTTAACAGGCCACAGCCATGAAGTGACATCTGAACTTCACTTCTTATATTACTGATGGCAGAAAACATCCTCTTTAGCCTTCAGATAGAAGTTTCTGGGCTTCCTCCTAAAGAATGTTCCAGTTTAAACCACGCACGTTTTCCTTACTCTCTTACCAGATACCAGAGGTCTTCTGTTTGGTATTTTTTTTTCCCAGAAAACTGCTCTTTTAGCTTTCTTTTCACCTTGAGGTGAGTGTTTTCCAGCTGGTCTTGCTTACCAACACAAGTATTTTAGATATACCTGCCTTTGCAAAAAACATGTTTCTAGATCTTTTGAACTGTGGCATAAATAGTAATATATTTCAGTCCCAATAACATAATTATTCTCATTCCTAATGTTCTTCATTCAATTAGCTTATAATAGCTACCGTCTTGCCTCAACCTTTTCTAGGGTAGGGACTGTTTTTCAAATGCAGCAGGAAAATAAAATCTTGTTCCTGCTCGAGTCCTTAACGCTGTTTTAATGAAAATATTGTGGCAGTGTGTATAATTTTTTTTTAGTCGCTCAGTGGAAAGTCTTACAGGTCCCAAATTAGCAAAAGTTTTGTAAAGTTCATATTACTAATCTATGGAATTTATACCAAAGGTGTTGAAATCACTTACGCTTTTGCTGACTCACTTCCCCCAGGGATGGCTGGTGACCTCAGAGATGCCCTCACACAAGTTCAGGGCACAGAGTTGCCATCTGCAGCATGAAGAACACACTGAACTCTCAACTCTGCTCCGTCCTAACATTTTGGCCCCGTATACCTTAGTGGTCTGCAAACCCCAGAGTTTGTTTCAAAGGCCATTTTCTTTTACAATCTGCTCTGACTCAGATGCTCAGTTAGTGTGGTATTTACAAAATATCTGTACCCCCGTGAATTTATCTTGCCAACAGAAGTTAAATGGTTACATATTAAAAAGATTTTATAAGCACGATATGCCACAGTAAACATTAGTAAAAGTTGTTCTAAAACTATTTCTGTCTTTTGTTGGGAAACAATTATTGAGGCTTGAAGGGGAAGACTGCTTAGTAAAAGGAAGGAGAATTAAACATACTGAAGTTTTAAAGGAACTCGGCTTTGCTGATTAAGTGCTTTTTACAGAAATGCAACTAATGTTTCCTTCTTTTATAATTCTTAATTCAGGCCCAAGTGCCAGTAAATGACTTTCTTTGCTGTGCGTGGAGGTTTATTTTTAGTCACAAGGAGAGTATAGACAGCAGACTGAAAATCAAGCTGACTGCACACTAAATAAATACCACACACTTAACTCTTGGTGTCAACTCCTTCGTCTCCCCGTGGCTCAGCTCAGTTTTCTGACTGGAACAACTTTTCAGTAGCCATCTGCCAAGGCTCTGAAACTGCCTTGTAGCTGAGCCTGTTCTTGTCTTTCTGAAAGCATCAGTTTTAAAGCTCCAAGGTTCTCCTAGGGTTGAAGTTTGCAGTACTTTGAGACTCACAGTGGAGCTGGAATTTGGTCTCCTCTCCTGTAAACTTGCTGTCAATCTGAGAGCAGAACTGCTTGGCAACTGGAGCTGTTCCCCGTGGAAGTGTGGTGAGAGCTGGGCACAACCACCACACTGCCCTTTCAGAACCAACATTCCAGCCCTGATGTGTGACAGATAGAACAGTTCCAAACGAGTCTCTCACCAAATGTGTAACATCATCAGATGAAGACCTGCTAAGCAGGTGACAAAAGACAGAATCCGAGTTTTTCAAAGCCTGCCAGGCTGTTTGTGCAGTTTTTCTCGACATCGAGGGATCCAAGAGATTTTAAATGAATGATTTTCCTTTCCTCTTGTGTCCACCAGTGCTGTTTACCAAACTATAGTTCATGCTGAGCCGCTGCTTTTCCCTCCTGTTCCCATCTTGTTGAATCAACACACCAGCAGAGAAAGCAGTTCTGGGATGGTCAGCCTGAAGTGTTTGCTACACCATTAAGGAACAGAACATTCTCTCTCGTGTCAGCTGGCTTTCAGCAGTGTTGAAAGATGGAATCAGCTAATGCTCAAGCTCCCTGAGATCCATATGTGAGCTCTGGTAAATACGCAGTTTGGCTCCAATTAAGTGCATCACCCCCCTGCAGATGGGACTGCACTCAGCTCTGCTGCTCCAGGAGAGTTGGACTGTTCACAGCACCTGACCAGCTGAAAGGCTGATTGTTTTCAGCCCTTCTCATACTGTAGAGGTAACACAGCACCAAGCAGTGAACTCCTGATTGCAGTTCATCTCCTGAAGCTACAAACAGGATTGTTTGCTGAGTGTCAGTCCCTTACAGGGACACAAAGCCATTGGAGGTGACAGATGGCTCACCCAGGGCATCGTTTGCTGATGTGGGGCATAGCATGGATGAATTTGGGGGTCTGATCTGACCTCTAGAACTTTTTTATTTTGGACACATGGAACCTGTAAGACTCTTACCTTGTGTTGCAGAAACCAAGCTAAATTTGCCAGGCTGGTGCTTGGCAAAAAAAAAAAAAAAAGTCTCTGCAATGTCTGTAGTCAGTGCAACGTCTTGTACACATAAATAGGTGTCTGATGTCCCCAAACACCCAATCAAGTCAGACCCAGCTGACATTCCTTGTTGCTCACTACAGGCCCATACCAAGAGAGTGTCTTTGGGCTCTGGCAGAACGGGGGGTGTGAGGGGTGGGTCCTGTCTGTCCCAGCTGCAGGGTCACCCAGTGCCACCCCATGGCACTGGAATGGAGGGAAGGAAAGTCTGGCGACTGCAAACCATTGACACAACTCACTGCAAGACTGTGGCAGGATTGCAGCAATTCCTGCAATGGGCCCAGACCCCTGGGAGAACAGTGTCTGATTAACAAATGATGGGTGGCTGGACTGGAATACTTGGAACAAATAAAGCAGCAGCCCTTATTATGCAAGGTCTATATATTTTCCTCACAGACTTTCACAGAAATGCCACATTTCTGACACCTTTCCAGCAGCTATTTAGAGACACCCTGGGCTAGGCAGGCAGGATGTGAGACTGCAAATATGACTGCTGGGTTTGTTCCCTGTTCTGACACGCACTTAACAAATAACACCTCAATTACTCGGTACTCCTATTTGCAAAAAGGAATGAAGCCACTTACATACAACTTACTCTGATATTAACAGAGAATAGCACTGTTATTTAAGACGTATTATTTCCTATAATTCCATTTAAGCAACTCTTTTACAAAAACTCATTTCAAAATTATTATGTATTCATAGCAATAGTAGCATCTCTGTAAATGCAAATTCACTCCTTCATCCTTTTAAGTATCTATATTGCATATTTAAAATCTCCATAAACCTCCTTACTCCGAAGGAATATCCTGGCCTCATAGGTAAGCAGCAGGAATTTGAAAAGGCTCTCTCATGCACACTCATGTTTTGTATGCAGGTTGCAGCAAATTGTGATTGCAGAAAATGTGGATTAAAGTAAAACTGCTCTTGAGGACAAGACTTAACTGTTCATTCACGTCTTCGACTCTGAACCAGCAGTAATGGCAAAAGTTGAGACTCTGAATGATTGAAAAGCCCATCAGGGATATCTGATTAAATAGCAGTCTTGTATTTGTTCAAGTAACATCAGTGGTAGAGGGGCTGAGGACCATCATTTGCATCATTGGTTTACATTGCTGAGAAATCATTCCATCAGTTAAAAGGTGACAGGTTTTAAACCAACACGAATTCCTTGCTTCACATTCAAGTGAATCAGAACAGATG